CCGCCAGCAGCATGTCCTGTGGGCCGGTCCCGTGATCTTCGCCCACTCGAAGTTCAAACTGGGCAGCAGTTTGAACTTCAGGTGACGTACAAAACACACAAATCCGGATTCATTTGGGTTCTGGGTGTCAGGACATCCCGCCACCACTGCCACAGTGGCCGCGTTACTTTGACGTCCACATTCATTGTCCCTTTAAAAAGAAAATGGGCCATTCAGATGGTCTTCACTACGCATTTCAGGACGTGGCACTGAAGGGGTGTGTGGGGAGGGGGGAGGTGGGATTGGGGGAGCTTAATCCCAAAATATGTTGATGGAGAAAGGGGTTTCCTCGTGTTCCTGTTCAGCTGCTTCCTTTTACAGAAAAAAAACGACGATTAATTTGTCCCCGATGTGTGGGGTCCGGAGAAGATGGGGGGGGAGGTGGGAATTGTGGTTAATTTGAGACCACTGTACTGAGAAACATCGAGTAAAATAACGTTGACAAAGCCAACTTTGCACCATCGGGAAATTACGTAAAAGCCCACAAGTGATCGTGGCACAGAATCCCAAAAGCAAGGAGGGTGCATAGTCTCCAAAAAAAAAAACAATCGTGTTGTTACTTTGATAGAAAGGAAAAAATTGGTAAAAAAAAAACCAAGCTTTTCAATGCAAACACACGATTTGATTTGCACTAAAAAGTAGAAAGTAAATCTTTCTGACCCCCGGAATTAATCGAATGTTGATGTGCTCTATAAATTAAACATATCGAAAGCCACCGACTTTTATTCAGCGCGTCAACATTTTATGCATTCTGGGGTGGGGGGTTCAAAATAATGTAAAACGATTGGTGTGTGCCATTGGGCTTTGAATGATTCACAGACCGCGAACAACTTTGAGCAAACGGACGAAACAAACACCGTGACATCGATTCAACGGTGCTTTAAAAATGTTGCAGTGGAGAAAAAAAAACGACAAAAGACAAATCGCGATAAATGTGTATAAACACCATTGGAAACCTCATTTGCCAGTAACAAAATATGATAATTGTTTTTTTACCCTTTTATCTGGCAACAAAACTGACACATTTTTTACAAGGAGTCATGTTTACATTGACCAAAATACCTGCGGTCGGAACGCAAACAAAAATCAACAACTCTGATAATGTATGCACTGTCCTTGAAATTGATTGGTCCACACCCGAGACAGCTTTCTTTAGAGCCTCGTCTCACATGGTGTTGGACCAGAAGACGCCAAAAGGCGCCGTTCATAAAAGCCGTTCATAAAAGGCGCCTTTTGGCGTCTTCTGGTCCAACACCATGTGAGACGAGGCTCTAAAGAAAGCTGTCTCGGGTGTGGACCAATCAATTTCAAGGACAGTGCCACATACATTATCAGAGTTGTTTTTTGTTTGCGTTCCGACCGCAGGTATTGTGCTCAATGTAAACATGACTCCTTATAAAAAAAGGTGTCAGTTTTGTTGCCAGATAAAAGGGTAAAAAACAATTATCAAATGTGTATAAGTTTCAGTTTCATTTATTTGGTATAGCCCTGTGAGCCATTCGGCTCTTGAATCGGGTGCAACCGCAACAAACAAAAAAACAAAAATATGAACAGGAAAACATCTTAAAGTGACTATGTGACTGTGCAAACAGAAAATCCAGGAAAAAAAACAGCAAAATATTCCTGAAAAAGCACCATACACCGTATACCCACTTGCGTCAGCTGTGGTGAGATCAGGGCCGATTAGCAATTAACGGCTTGTCAAAGTTCATAATTAACTCCTGAGCTCCAGTTAGCTTCTACTGTAACCGATGCCTTGGTGCATTATTGCTGGTGTCTCTCAATTACTTGCATTCTCTCAAGCGAAATGTGATTTCTGGGGTGTTTTTTTGCATTGAGTGACCATAATAGATAGAGGTGCCTTGAGGAGGCTTTCATGCAGCAGTGGCTAGATCGTGGTTGTTAATTATGATGAGAATGACGTGTTACATTGTACATGCACAGCCTTTGTGGATGAGGACCACTCTACGCCATGCAGGGGTGTGAGACCTATTTGATCATACCACGCCAGTCCACGTGGGTTGGTAAAGGCGGTGGGCATATACACGGGACCATAGAAATACAATACAATGGATTTTGCTGCTTTGCACCCTGCTGTTCACAGCATTGCTCCATGTCACATGGCACGTTTGTGTACGCACGGCGAGCTCATTCAGGAACTGCATTCCTGAATGAATTTCTGGCGGAAATTCACACCTGTAATCCAGCACTATGGAGGCAGCAGCTAGGGTTGGTGGATCAAACACAGATGTTGGGAAACTTTCTTCCAGTGAGCGTCGAGGCAGGAGCCATACCCTACCTAGCTCACCAGAAGGCGGCACAGCAAATGTAGACTCCACTTTTTTCCCATCTGTGTGGGATCGTGTACTGACCCCTCACACGACGTGGGTAAACACTCATCATTAATAGGCTGAGAACACCTTCATATATTGAGGACTGCAGAGCTTGACCGTGCCTCTGAGCCATGCTCTGCCTTTGCGAGTGAGCGAATATCGCGCGGCACGTTACAAGTTGAGATGATTATTATCGCGATTATGACGTTTCCGAGATAACCCTACCCCCAAGTTTGAGTGTACTTGTCGAAACCACATCGTCGTTCCGCTGCTCATGTCCTCATCCTCAGCCAAACATTATTTTTCCACCGACTGAACGGGGAGGCAATGCTCAAACCGCCGCCAATTCTCCAGACGCCTCGACGTAAGACCCCATGCAAGGCGTGCGTGCACGCGAGCTGATGCCAAAGCTCCACGTCTCGCTGGTGGCACGCCCTCTCAGTGGCATCCCATTCCGCGGCCGCAACCTTCGTCAATATCGTTGATTGGCACGGCTGGCCACGTACGGTGCGAGAGAAGTTCGGCCGACGTACGTGCATCATTACTTCAAGCGACGTGTTCCTGCCCACGCTCACTTACCTTTATTAACAGTCTGAATGCGTGTTTTTTTTTTCTAATCCAGGTGTTCCTTTTTTTTTAGTCTCTCATTGGAACTTCCAAGCCTGCATCTCTCCATGCCTTCTGGTGTGCTGTTTTCGTTCCACTCTTTGGTTTTTGACTGTATTGTTGAACCACGACGTAGCAGGTCACATACAGAATCAGAATATTTATGCATACTGAAGGAATCCGATGAGCTGAAACGCTCTTTTTTTCACAGATGACCAATGCAGGGACACCTCTACTTACGAACATTCGACTTACGAACTTTAAGAGATACGAACAAACCCGTCCATGTGTCCAGTCGCCCGTTCGGACCGAGAGTCGTAAGTTCAACCGCCGCGCAATAGATGGCGGTGGTGGCATCTACATCTGCAGAATGTGAAGAATCAGTGGCATCTACATCTGCAGAACGTGAAGAACCAGTGGCATCTACATCTGCAGAACGTGAAGAACCAGTGGCATTTACATCTGCAGAACGTGAAGAACCAGTGGCATCTACATCTGCAGAACGTGAAGAACCAGTGGCATCTACATCTACAGAACGTGAAGAACCAGTGGCATCTACATCTACAGAACGTGAAGAACCAGTGGCATCTACATCTGCAGAACGTGAAGAACCAGTGGCATCTTCATGTACAGAACATGAAGAACCATTGGGATCTACAGAACGTGAAGAACCTTTCGGATCTACATCTGCAGAACGTGAAGAACCAGTGGCATCTGCATGTACAGGAGATTGTACAACTTTTAAGGCCATTCGCCGTATTTAGTGTACATGCCGTACAACATGTTTGGAAGCGAGAGGAGTGAATTTGAACTTGTGAATAAATCGACTTTACGAACAGACCTCTGAAACCTAACTCGTTCGTAAGTAGAGGAGTCCCTGTATATGCACAGAGGCGTGTCGGATGGTAGTCTTTTTGCGGCCCACCTGTCACGTGTTGCCGTGTCTACCCTAAACGTTGAATCCAGATATCATCCGTGGGGGCATTTGCAACAACAACAATGCAAATGCCCATTTAGTTATGCGAGTGTAAAAAAAAAACTCATTGTTAAAGGGCGCTCGAGCCCAAAGCCCTCTCTCGGTGGTGAGCAGACCTTGACATTGGCATTCGGCTCTTGAGCATATTGCCATCGTGCGCGAGGGCAGAATTTGATTATTTAAGACCAGATTCAAGGTGGATCCTTCCCCGATCCTAGCAACGTCCCCCGATGACGCTGGGTGTGATTAACTGCGAAAAGTCACGGCACTTGACGTTGCAAGCGTTGTGGATTTTACTCTCCAACACGTCGGTGGGCCGAAGCAGGAACGCATTGGCGCATTTTGTTAACGTGACAAACCCCTTACGATCTAGCCGTGTCGGGTGGTGGCGGGGTTTAACGGCACATTTATATTTACGCGATCGAGCCCCCACCCCCCCCCCCCAAAAAAAAACTTTTTCATGAATAATTTTGGTCGCGAAAACCAACCTGTAAAACATAATTAAATATGCCCCAAGTAAAAAACTTTCGTCTTGAGGCAAATTGGTAGATAAACGTTTCATGGACATTTTCGACTGTCCATCAGTCCCTCGCTATCTTTTGGCGAGGCAGCAAAAGTAAAAAAACATTACTATCTCTATGCATTTAGAATCAGAATATTTACACTGCAGGAGGAATCTGATGAGCTATGAAGCAATTTTTTGCACAGATGCCCGGCACGGGCACAACAGCAAAACAATATCACAGCAAAAACCACGATAGGAGTGCAAAATAGAGAAAATGTTCAGTAAGTCACGAAATATACCTAATAAAATAATTAGTAACAATTGCTTTCCAAACAAACCTGTGACGCATGTCTGATTTTCTTCCGCCGTTGCTGCAATGTTTATGAACCGCTTTGGGGGCTCCTCTTGGGATCTGCAATCTGCTCGTCACTGCACTCCCCTTGAACAGAGACCCAAATCAAGAAAGAGGCCCACCCTAGGGTGCGATTACAAAGTAGCATCCGAGCGTGAAATGTAGACCTGTAATTGTGCAAATTTTTACCTTTCCGCAGATTCTTTGGCGTCGCTGATTCACCCCCGCGAAGGCAGCGCGAGCACAATTATCAACACGTTCGTCAGCAACACCGTGGCCTGAAAAAGAAATGAATGTGGCGGGCGACGTTTCGGGGCCATGGCCCCGCTTCAGAGCACGTTAAATTCCGCCGCTGTTGTGTCGCCAATGGAATAAGATCCGTGTAGCTGCATCGGCTTCCGTTTGGGGAAATGCACTTCTGACTTATTTTAATATTTTCTTCTTGTGTACAATAGTCTCCACTTATTGGAGTAATGTTATAACGTTTGTGAAAAAAATATATGTATTAAAAAATAGCCTACACTATACGGATGTCCTTGAGAAGTCTATTTCAATTATTTACGCCTCTGCATTCGGTGAACCTAACTGCGCTGGAGAGGATTTATGAATTATGTATCGCGCTCGAAATAAATTGCTTGCCACTAGACGTGGCCGTATTGTACAGTCTGCTAAGTATGCATCTGTGGTCGTGACAGGAATGTTCGATGGGCGAGTGGAACAATGCACGGCTGCCGCGTCGCAATGTAACTCGAGGCATTTTAATTGCGAGTCAAATCAAGACAAATGCATTCGCAGCTTAAGACCGTAAACCCTTAGCGGCGGTACCTTAAACAAAAAAAAATGACTTCAACGTGAATTATAAAAAAACTAGGAATATTAATAGTAAACTAGGAATCAAATAATATTATGACTGAACTTCAAATCTTGTTTGGCGGTAGGGTGCCACGGTGGCGAGATGTCATCTCCCTCGCCTGGTATACAGGTGGTCGTTGGTGCGATCCCGACCCTGACCCTTGCTGTATATTTGGAGGTTGCATGTTCTCTCTCTGTGCTCACGTGCATTTTTATTCGGGTCCTCCTGATTTCCCCCTTCTCTACAGTTGGATTCGGCCTTCTCTTCCACGTCTCAAGAACGTTGAGAGTAGTCCCACACTTTACCCCCCCCCCCACAACACGCGACCTGCCGATCTTCTGACCTGCGCTCTACCCATTTATACCACTGGGTTAACAAGAGGCCAAGGGTAGATTTCAAGAAACTCGCCCCATTGTTTCGACTGCAGTGCAGGGAGATTGATTATTGGACAACTGTGGAAAAAATGCTTCTTAGCGCATCGGATTCCTCGAGTATAAAATAAGTATTCTGATTCCGAAATATGATTAAGAACATCTCACCAGCATATTGTTTTTGTGGGAAGGTTCGTCCTTGTGAGCCCATGGCACAATCCACAGAGTAAATGCATTCCCGGGACCCAATCACCATCTCAATGAATCATCCAGTATAAATACATATTCCCATTCTGTAATAATCTGATTCTGACTTCCAGATTGCAAGTCCAAGTGCGCTGACGGTGAACACCGCAGAGGCATCCAAATGCAATATGCACCACAAAAAGTTCACAGTCGTTGTGCCCTGGAGAATATGGCTCCTGCCATGGGAATGTGGGATTTCCACCCCCCCTGTATGCCGATGGAACTAAGCGCTGCCCCAATGCTCGGCTGAGCAATATATTTACTCTGAACACGGCTTAATTTGAGGTTTAGTTTTGAGTGTATTTGATTTGTTACACGGATTATCCCGTTCAACCGGTTGCCCGGCTAATTCAGCACCTTAAGCTTACGCAGCCAAGCAAAGATGCCTGCAGCAGTGCGTTGCGAAAACTTAAGAGATAAAGGTTGGGCTATGAAGAAGGGTGATTGCCCGAAACGTCGCCTATTATATATTTGTATCTTTTTAAGGCTACAGCGTGTTACTGACAAATGTGTTGAGTGTTTATTTTTTGCTTGAAGAAGAATTTCTCAAAACGCAACCAACCCCCCAAAAATAAAAACGACATTTTGATTGAATACTGCTTGTAATTACGCTGTGTAACAAAACAAAAATGTCCTTGAGTAGTAAGTGTTATTTCCTAATTGCTTATGCCTCAAAAGTATAGAAAATTGCTATTATTCCCCACCAACTTTGCTTTTGTGACCAGGACAGTGCTATTTTGAAATGTACATATTTTCAATCAGAAAACGTGCGAATTTGTGTCATTCCTTCTTCATAAAGTCGTGGTCAATAAAGCAAAGTTTGTGGGGAATAATAGCCATTTTCCGTACTTTTTAGGCATAAGTAATAAAAAAATAGCACTTACTACCCACGGACAAAAATCGTGTTACATAGTGTCATGCAACGATGCCATGCTATTATACATCTAGGCGGACGGCGCTTTTTGTCAATCCACTGCTGGATGAGTGCCTCACCACGCTGGTCGGTGCACGTTGGCGACTCCCGATAGCGATGAATCTCTGCTCCTGCACACTCCTTTGCAAATGTCGTCACCCGTCGGCTCGCTACACCCGAATGATTTCGCGCGAAAGAACCCGGCAAGAGAATAACGAAATTTAACGTGGACGTGGAATGTCGCGGGGCAGATGAGAGGGGAAACTCCACAGCGCAGCAAATCTTGGTACCTAAAAGATAACGTTCCCTGGTTTGAAACTCAACACTGCTCCCTCACCAACCCTCACCCCCCTTCCCCTATTCCTGCTCCGTAGAGGACACGGCAATGGCAAGCTGCTGCTGCTGCTCCTGTTGCTCCTAATGCTCCTGCTGCTGCTGCTGTTGCAGCGATAGACAGCGAGCACGCTTGCCTTGGAGGGGACAGCAGAGTTCACGACGACAAAATATACCGGGCCATCGATGTCGCCGCGTGGCTCAGACTGTCAAGAGAAGCTGAGCTGGCCACCGCTGATGGCCTGGGTTTGAATCCAGGTTTTAGCCACTGCGTGTGATAAAACTGGCTTTTTTTCCTTTCTTTTACCCATTGCATATTCATGCATGTTGAACTTATTTTGCACTGTCGTAACCAAGCGTGCTAATCGGAGGTGCCGGGTGAAAAGGATAACAGACCATGATAAATTAGTTTTCAATCTAGATGACTTAAAGTGCACAGGAAACCCGTGGCTTCCTAATGTTCGAAGGAAGAGCGTTCCAGACGGCCGCAGAAGCGCATCTGCTCGCAGTGGACTCAGCGAAGGAGGTGGTGGTGGCGAGGGTGTTGAACAGTCAAAGGCGGTGGTGACATGTGCCGTGAGTGCTACGTGTCGCGTGGTGAGTGTGGCGAGTGGTGGTGTAGCGGTCAGCGCGCTGCGTTATCGATCCGGCGGCCCAAAGTTCGATTCCCGCTCACGGCCACCAACACCATTGACGATTATCTGAACCGGTCCTGGGCCTCCCCTAGGTCTACTCAGCCTCAAATGAGTACCCGGCACGGTGTGTAAACATCGCCACTGGGGAGACAAAGGCGGCCGGTTGTGGTGCTGGCCACCCACCCCCTCGTGTGCCACAGTGCCGGCCTTCATAGGTGCTCGCTAACAGCACTTGCCCCAACAGTCTGTTACAGGCTACGCGGGGGATCTTGTCTTGTGGTGAGTGTGGCAAGTGTCAAGGGGCTCGATTCTGCGTGGGAGACGGTGGGGAGGTGGGGGGCACTCGGTGGGGGGCACTCGGTGGGGGCCAATCTGCGGGTTGTGTCCTCGGGGGTGGCTAAACTGGCTTCTTCACTGCAGTTGAGTCAATAGGCTCAGCAGCCTGACCGCCAACGACTGCGTAACTAAACAAATACAAATATATATGCAGTCAAACTAAAACAATGATTGCCACGCTTACGATGTTTTGACTGGGAAAACGAGAACGGGCACGAGAAGCCGGAGAAGCGATGCGAACAATTGGATGCGACTGGGGGAGAGGAGCATTTGATGCAAAGTTCTTGAGTAAATATCATGGACGGAGCTGAGTGGAAAGAAAGCAATGACCACCAACATCCGTGCGATAGGACATCATATATAAAGAGATAGACTAACACTGCCCATAGACTAACATAGCCCATGGACTAACATAGCCCATAGACTAACACTGCCCATAGACTAACATAGCCCATAGACTAACACTGCCCATAGACTAACATAGCCCATAGACTAACATAGCCCATAGACTAACACTGCCTATAGACTAACATTGCCCATAGACTAACATAGCCCATAGACTAACATAGTCCATAGACTAACACTGCCCATAGACTAACATAGCCCATAGACTAACACTGCCCATAGACTAACACTGCCCATAGACTAACATAGCCCATAGACTAACATAGCCCATAGACTAACATAGCCCATAGACTAACACTGCCCATAGACTAACACTGCCCATAGACTAACACTGCCCATAGACTAACATAGCCCATAGACTAACATAGCCCATAGACTAACATAGCCCATAGACTAACATAGCCCATAGACTAACACTGCCCATAGACTAACACTGCCCACAGACTAACATAGCCCATAGACTAACATAGCCCATAGACTAACATAGCCCATAGACTAATATTGCCCATAGACTAACATTCCCCATATAAAAACATTACGCATACTTTCATTGCCCGTATACTAAAATTGCCCATATACTAACATTGCCCATTGACTCACATTACCCAAAGACTAACATTGCCATAAACTAACATTGCCCTATAGACGAACATTTACTGCAGCCGTGCAAGCATTTGGTTCTCATGTATAATGTTCATACATACGTCGGGTTTGATGAAACAACGTAAGTTGTACTAACGTTACCCCGTGCATAATTTGTCTTTCCATGATTTACCTTCTAAAGAAAACGTGGCAATGTCTCGCACCCCCAGGAAGGGCATCTCGCACCCCCAGGGGGTGCGTACACCCCGGGCTAATAAGAAGAACCACTGCCGCGTTATTTGGAGCCCTGGTAAACAAAACATGTGAAGATACGGTACGGCGTGAATATAAATTCTCGGAACGGTGGGCTCAGACGCTCCACGCGAACGCGCGTAACGCGAGGAATCCGTCATCATCTCCCCGGTCGTTTATGCGGTGCGGATGAGGATGATGAGGATGGAGGAGGAGGAGGAGGCGAGGTCGCCTCTAATTCCTCAACAACAAGGAGCAGTACTACGGTTACACCGGCGGCGACACGGCACGCACGGGTACCCTAAGGGCCACGTGTCAAGCAACACGATCCGAGCCTGTTATGTTTATTTTGAAAGGCGATCGTGCGACACATCTTTGAAATTTTGGCTGGCAGAGGTATCCAGTCCGGGTCTCGTGCATTTCTTTTTTTTTAAACCGCGGCTGTGTCCCGCACTGCGGAATTGCCTCTGCTTTTCGACGTATATGATTTGCTGCTGATGATGCTGCTGCTGTGTTGGTGGTGATGGTTGGTGTACAAGCACAAAAAAGCTAAGCACATTTCATCAATAACTCCGTGGCATTAAAAGTAAAAAAATATATAAATATAAAACCCTAGAAGATGCCGGAGAGATGTTATCGCGGAAAGATGCTATCTCTCCGGCCTCTCTCCGTGCTATGTAGAGGGACCATTAACTGAAAATTTGGGGAGCAGATAAATATGTTTTTAAAATATATATACAGTATATATACCCTTACACTAAAACATAGATGACATCTCTCCGGCCTCTCTGTTTATATGTTATGTAGAAGGGCCATGTGCCTGGACCTTTGGGTCGCAGATTTATACCTTGAAAGGTGCCACGTGTTTAAGCAAAAATAAAATTTAGTTGATTTGACTGAATCGTCGCCCGTGATATAATTAGAATGTTAAGGCCTCGGTGTTATTTGACGAATGCGAGTGTGAGGTTTTCTCTTTTTTCCTCCTTTAAGAATACCGTGTTGGCCTCGTCACGCATTCATTCATTTATTCAAGGGGATGATGACTGCAGATTGCCGCCGCAAAATCGCAGTGTTGTAAATCTACAATTAATTACAATTAATGCTAAATTCTGGGATGTACTTTCTCCTCCCTCCCGCCCCACCGCTGGAATAATTTTCTATTTAAATTGCGTTTTTGTTATTTATTACAAAACGGGCATATTTTTCATTCCCATGTCATGGCCACTAAATGAGGCTATGAAATTGCGAACATAATTCCCAATGTAAATCGCAGTACTATTGTTATAAACAGGTCATTCCAATGGGTACGTTGTGTTGCCTCTTCAAGGGTCTCGCCCACCTATGTGACGACAAAAAGTATCATTCGCATCAATGCGGATGCATTTCTCTTGCCGTTGCTTTCATCCGGAAAAAAAATCGCCTGCTCTTCTTGAAAACTATATATATTTTTTAATCTTGACTTAAAGCTTTCGTGACCACAGGAATTCATATTCTTTGGGTCTTTTGGCAAAGTCACGTAAATAGGTTCAAAATAATAAAAATAAAATAAACAAAAAACTACGACGTTTCGATCACAACACAAGCGATCGTCATCAGGAGGAAAACATGACGATCGCTTGTGTTGTGATCGAAACGTCGTAGTTTTTTGTTTATTTTATTTTTATTAATTTGAACCTATTTACTTGAAATTTCGATTTAAAGCTATCGTGACTGCAAGGATTAATCTTCTTTGGTTCTTTCGGTAAAGTCACGTAGAATGAGAATGAAATAATAAAATAAAACAATAAAATTCTCACGACGTTTCGGCCACAACACAAGTGGCCTTCTTCAGGTGAAAGGAACAAACCTGTGGCCGAAACGTCGTGAGAATTTTAGTGTTTTATTTTATTATTTTATTCTCATTCTACGTGACTTTACCGAAAGAACCAAAGAAGATGAATCCTATTTACGTGACTTTACCAAAAGACCCGAATATTTTTTTTTTTTTTACCAGATAAGGCCCACTGAGCTGTAATATCTCTCTTTCAGAAGCGACCTGGCCACAAATGATAGCCCAACGAAGTGGTTTATCATGCGGAAATGTATTGCCTCCGAATACTCTCATCGCATGATTCTAAATGTGAAGGGAAAACCCGGAGGACCCGGAGGAAAATCCACACGACCACGGGGGAGAGCGTGAAAAGTCCAAATGTACGGGAAT